TGTAGGTGTAGGATGAGTTGTGTATATTGAGACAGAAAAATAAACAAACTTGGAATTTATCATGTGATTATCAAGTATGGGTCTACTATTTTGACATAAATACTTGTATATGTAATAGTAATTTGAGGGCACTTTTAAGCTGATGTGTAAATGACGCACACAAAGTTACAACAACAACAATAATAATAATAAAATCAAAAATATGATGTTAAGTGATCTGATATTATCGCTAGTAGTGGTAGACAGCGGTAAATGGTGAGGATGAAGTACGGTAGTAACTGATGAAGATAAATACACAAAAAAAATTAAAACGGAAAACATGAGACCGATATTTTTGGTCACACACCGGACGTCGACGAGCAGCCGAACCGTAACAGTTGTCGTAACGGTAATTAAATTTTAATTGATGGATAAGGTAAAATGAGGAAGAAGCTTACGGTGATACGATTAGGATGACAGTTGGACATGGTAATTTGTAATAAAACGTAATACCTCAAATACCTACAGAGATCTTAATTGATTACAGTTGTTGGTTGTCTAGATTGGAGGTCGATCGGTGGACCTAACCCATCATCGCAAAATGTTCAGAAATAATTCACATCTCACTTCGGACATATTAATGGACTAAAAATTCACTGCACTACTGGTTCTAATAATACTGTGAATTTTTTTGGGGATGAAATATATAATATTCAAATATTTCCCCAGTTATTAAGTTATATATAATATGAAATTTGCAACCATTACCATTAGTCAGTACAGGTCTGTGTTACGATCAAACCGTAGATCATTTAATTTTGAAAATTCGAACATTGTGTATAATATGTATATGATACTTTCATCAGATGTCAAACTTATTGCAATCAAGATCAAGATGAACAAGGGTCAATTTAATAATAATTTCAGTTCAAGTGTCTTAATTTTCTTATTTTTATTTTTTGTCATTTAAAAACTATTTTTTTTTTTTTTAGTAATATTTTTTTATAATTTTTTTATATTTTATATATATATATATATTATATACATATAAAGTGATATATGTTTCATATTTGCCGTTTTTTTAAATATTTACATGTGATGCATAGTGGTGAGTTGAGTTGCTGCAGCATTGGTTGGCGACAGCAATGTGTCTCAGTATGTGACCGGCCATTAACGTAGTTGCGCTGTTATCATTGCGCGGATATGTCTGTTTTTCGTCTTTTCATTATAATTATCAATTGTTCTTATAGTTAAGAGTCATGAGGCACTGAGATCACAAGTCTTCTTTTTATTGTGGCACTGAGGCATTTTTATCATCATTATGGTATCCGGCGGCCGTACCTTTCGTCATAAATCGATTATCGTCATATGATGTACAATAAATCTTTCGTATCTTGTCTTTTTTTTGTTGGGTACACTTCGAATTTTTTCACGTGTGTTTTTATTACTACAACTATTTTTTGTTTAAACCACGTTTTTCTTTATTTTGATGTTTGATAAGTATTGTTCTACAGAACTTCATTGCCTTACGTTTATTCGTTATCATGTTTTAGGGTGTTCACTTACCAGCATTAATTGTAATTTAATGTGGTTTTCATCCTAAACTGTAAACTTGTGTCTTCGTTCGCGACTGTGGTTCAATGATTGCATGCACGTAAGAATTGTGCCTTATTGTATTAAATTTATTGTATTGCTTACATCCCTGTTGCATGGGATGAAATTCGCTATGTACAACATAGTCGCATGTGAGTATTGGTCGGTTTTAAGTGTCAAATTTATGTTCCAACTGATTGATATAATGACATTAATCATTCAAAAGTTAAGTCGGTGATTAGTGAAAAAACTAAGGTAATTGGTTCGATCTATAAATAATAATAATAATAATAATAATAATAATAATAATAATAATAATATTGTTATAATAAAAATAAATAAATGGGCGAGACGAAAGAAAAAATATTTTAAAAAATCACAAAAAAGCTGACCGAGAATCGAACCGAAATTTCTCTGGAATTTCTTAAGGAATACTCGCGTGAAACAGAAAAAAGATGACGTTCTTCCTTAACTAACGGTTCGAGACTTTGTATTCTACTGGTAGCGCCCTCAGTTAATGCATTCTATATATAGATCATCCATACATTTTCAACTATGTTATACGACGCCTGAACGAGACAGGTCGAACGCACAGGTATTTAACAATATTTACTATTATTTAAAGTAAAGTGTTTAGATTTAACCAGATAAAAATAATAAAAATAAAAAATAGATAAGTATCTATTATTTTAATCCTAAGGCTATCTTAAAAATCTTTAGTTATTTATCGTAATTAATCTGGACATTTTTTTTTACGATGTTTAATCAAATCGTTGAACTCCGTAATTACTTAAGAATGAATACAAAAAAAATATATAAAATTGGCCCTACGCACGAACTCGTATATCAACACTTGTTCACGGATTTCACAAGTCTATAGCGCTGGACGACGACAATGAATTAAGCCACGTTATTCACAATAGTCGCTGAAACAATGAGAACTATAACAAAATAGCAATATAACTGCGCAAAACGACACTTACCAAAAGACTAATACAAAATTGATAGAAAACGTGGTTTTATAAAAAAGACTACAGACGGACGATGAATTCACAAACTTTGCACGTACACCATAGGAACAACTTGGGGGGCGCAATAGGGTTTTTAGTACCCCTGAGTTCAAATGTAACACTCCAATTTTTTTTTAGATCTATATAATCTATAGTAATTAAAATTAAATACTATTTTATTTTATTTTCAGAAATTTCAATACCCCCAATATTTGGGCTTTAGTTGCGCCCATGATGTACACACGAATACGGACCAAACGAGAGAGAACGATTCGATGCCGATAACATTTCCACGAAGGCTATTGCCACTGGACACCACAATGAAGATAATTACCTCAGTGTTACTATCTTAAAATTAGTATACGCGAACTTATGAAACTTTATGACACTGAGACGATGACTTTAATTTAGGCTGAAATATAACCGAGCTTACAATTACAATTAATGATAGTTAAATTCAATAATTAATCAAAATTACTTCTTTATAATATCTAATATTGGCTTAGGATATTTCTTGCGATAATCTTGTATTGTTTAAAAAATAAAAATAAATATCATAATTTATATAATTAATTATTGTAATTAAAATGGCATTGTTTTACCTGTAATAGAAATTGTTTTTCTTCTTAATTTCTTGTTATTTTTTGATCAAATTCTTTAATAAATTTAATCTATCTTTCTGCAGCATTGTTTACAACATGTGATTTATGAAATATTTCTTGACCTCTTTTATAATAAATTGAAATATTCCAAGTGTTGGGATAAGTTTTTAAAAAATCGCAATCAATATTGAATTCTTTAAATAGTTTTAGAGACTGTTTTCCAATAAGTTTTATCGAAATTGTATTATCAACATCATTTGAAAATAATGGAACTTCGAATTTTTTTAATATTAATTTTTTGGAGTAGTTGATATTTGCTACTTTTTCGTCTTTTTCTTCTTCCTCAACTTCAACTTCAACCCAATCATGGCTTCAAATAAGGTTTTATTAATTTCAGAATACTGCAACTCTCTTAAAAATTGAATCTCATTCAAAGGAGCTATTTCACAGTTTACGGCAGTAAAACAATACATAACGTAGCATTTTATAATGAAGCAGTTAAGTTCTATAAGTAATTATTCTTCATTTATATTGAACTTAAACTGATTTCTAAATAAGAATATTTTGAGGCCATGAATTTCTTTAGCTATCCATTTTGCTAGATGGTAAGCACCTGGTTTTTTAAATTTGATTCCTTCCGGTGGAACTGCTTCATAAATAAATAATAATTAAAACAAGAAATTCTTTATATTTATTTCGTTTCGCTGAATTAATCCCATTGAATCAAAATTGTAAAATTATATCAATATCATTTTTTAAAATATGTTGAACGCTTTTATCAGATATTCCAGTAGAGAAATCAGTTTTTTTTTTTTTTTTTTAAAGTGTTCCCTTGACTTTTAAATCTTTTAAACAGCCAAATATTTGGTCCAAACATAGGGTTTACTTTAAACATTTTAAAAACCATTGATAAAATTATTTCGTTAATATTATGACGACAAACAAAAAATAAAATGTCTCGTTCAAGTTTTCTTTCTAATAAAGAATATGAAATGCCATAAAATTTATCTTTATTTGAGGTAGTTGTGTCAAAGATTATTATTATAAAATGAATAAAAACTATTAATATATATAAATACACAACTTATTTTGTAATTTGGCGGCTTCCGACCAATACTTCCGGGGTAAGTGCCTCGGTTCGCCCCCCCTAGATCCGACTCTGCATAATATATATTAATATTCTTTAGACAATAATATAATATTTATTGGTCGACGGCCGAATATAACATTGCGTAAATACTGTATAATATAAATTATAATAAGTAATTATTGTTTATAAATAATATACATATCTTTAGTTTAAAGAATAATTTCTTTCGATTTCAATAGGAATTTGAAAACAGTAAAAAACCCTTAAAAAAATCGGTATTTTTTTGGTATTGTTTATAGGTTTCGGTATTGGTTAGGGTCTATTAAAAATATAAGATACAGGTAACGGTTATTTTCGGTTCTTTAATTTACACTAGGGTTTAGGTTCCGTAACCGGTTCTTTTCGGTCCGGTCTCAGTCCCCGGTTCTGTATATTCATTACAAAGCTACTCTTCTAGTGGTTTTTATATTTTCTAACCACGTTTTATATTATTAATATCTATAAGACTGTACTTCGTATACGATAAGTTAAAAGTACGATAAAATGTTAAACATTTAACATAATATAGTATTTCGGTTTAATCCATTGATTGTGCTATAATTGTTAATCGGAAACATAATTATCTACGTGGTTTTTAATTGCCTACGAATGAAATCAAGGACATTTATTGCACACACCACTTAATAACGACGTAATAATGTGGATAATCGTGTTCGGTACGACCAGTGATAAGTTGTTAATTGAGCACTGTAGTGTATAGATGATACGAATGTACGAATGTTTTTTTTCGATCGCGGCTAACGGTTGAATGTATTTGGTATCCGGTCATAGAACCTAAAATTTACGTACGATACAATATCGCAGGAAGAGAGTGGATATGACCTGGTCGATAGAGGAAGAAATGCATGCGATCGTAAACGAGGGTGCATTTGGAAAGAATCGTACCTTGGTATCGTTCAAAGTGTACAATAGCATACCAGACCTGGACGAATGGAAATACACGACGATTGTCGGGACCGTCATCACATCCGATGGTTTGCATTACCCCGTTATGATCAGGTTAAAGATTCAAGATCAGATGCTGCGCGATTGTTGGCAAAGCGATAAATTGTTTCATAACGAGTTGATCATGTACGAGGAAATCATACCATTTCTATTAGAATGTCGTGGTCCGACGGTTAGTGATACGAATGCGTTATCGTTTTCGCTCTTCTTTTACGGCCGCAATAAATGCGGTGAATTCGCAGAGAAAGATTTTATAGTGTTTGAGAACGTCTATAACTTAGGATACCGTTTTAACGAAGAACGACTGTTCCTTGATAATGAACATGTAACTATCGCACTTCGAGCCATCGCAAAGTGAGTTTATCCTTTAGAGTAATAGTAATCTATAAATATCACATAAAAAAAAAATATTTACAGTAGGTAGAACATGGCTTGTAACAAAACAAACGTTAAATTATAAGTTAACTTTGTTCAACCGTACAAACAACAAATAAATCACGGTTATTTCAATAAACACATCCTGACAAATAATCAGTGTTTATTATATGTAGTTGAATCACTTATCGTCTAGGTATATGTCCATCTCAGAGACATACAATAATGGCAAATAATTTTTAAAACACTTGTTTCGTTATGAGATGGGTGTCTTGAGATTTTGACCCGATGGGAGAGGAATAAGTATGTACGCGTCCATGTTAACGGAAGTAAACGGGTACTATTAGGACATGAATGTAAATGACGAAATTATTTAAAAATCAATTATAATGTAATCGATTATAATATGATTTATTGTCATGTGATTTATATAATGCTGTACTGGTACTGAATACTGCGGGCATACGGTATAATCAAGTTGATGCGTTGAGTGTTTACCGCGATGCCATATTTGTTATATGTTGCAAATAAATGTCAAATTCTTATCTGTCTCAATTGAAAATGTTCATGGTGCAAAATAACGACCACGTGATGACACGTATATTCTGTAACATAAAATTAACATGTGTCTACAATATTGAGCTACGGGCAACCATTCAGATAACACGTTATAGTTTTGATACTTTTCCGTTTAATAAAAGTTAAGAAGTGTTGGACGGTACAATATTCTATAGATTATTACGTTTACAGATACGTCATATACATAACAAATTAGATTAATAATAAAAGTAAATATAATACACAATCGCCACGAAATGGATAATATGTTGTGACTATATCATAAAAGTAATCGTATATGAACGTGCAGTTCAACTTTTATGATTTCGTTATGTTTTCGAATTTACCGGCAAACTCTCACTGTACTTAGTTTTAAACGAATTTCGTTTTTGGCGTATAAAAATGCACCTTTAAAAAATAAATAAATATTTTATTATGTTAATTATAAAAAATAAATGTCTCGATTTGAATAGTATACATAAAAAAAGAAAAAAAAAGCCTCCCATCAGTATTCGAAATCATCGGGGGAGTGTCGTTCTCAGAAAACAACCCCTACCCCCTACCACAATCCCATCGCCGCTTACCACCGGAGTAACGTGTTATCGATTGCACTGTAACGAGCGGGTGTTGGTTTGGATTCTGTTGGTAGGTTCCACGGGCTATCGTACACGGCAAAAAGCAAGAACCCCACGAGGTTCCGGCAGATCATCGCGGACATCCGGGACCCGCAAAGCGACGAGCGCGGACACTGGATGGTGCAGCACGACTGGCTGAAGAAGCTCGGCAAACGCGCGGTGGACAGGCTGCTGGCGCGCCACGGCGGCGACCGGTACCGCGAACACGAGGGCGTGCGGCTGTTCAACCGCGTGGTCGCGGACGGCGCGAACACGCTGCGCCGGTCACTGGCCGTCACGGAACCGCTGTCGGTGCTGTGCCACGGTGCGTACTGCCGGAACAGCGTGATGTTCCAGTATGACGAGTGCGGGCGGCCGTTCGACGTGCTGATCATCGATTTCTTCACGCCCGTCCACGGGTCGCCCGCGCTCGATCTGGCCGTGTTCCTGTACATGAACACCACGCGGCCGCAACGGGACGCCCGTTGGTCCCATTACCTGGACGCGTACTGCGCTTCGTTGGCCGCGGCTGTGCCGCGCGGCGTCCGCGTGCCAGACCGTACGGAGCTAGACGCCGAAATGGCCACTACCGCGATCTATGGGTTCGCGTGGGCGTCGATGTGTATGCCGTACGTGTTGCGTGACGACAGCGACATGCCGGACGCGGCGTTAGTCAGCGACGACCCGGTGGACTACTTTCTGGCGCTGGGTGGTGACACGGGCACCGAGCTGCTGGCCGACATCGTCCAGCATCTAATCGACATGCGGTACCTTACCTATCCGATGAACCCGACGTAACCGATCCGGTGGTACGGGGGCTGTGGCCGTGGACGAAGGATCTGTTCGAACGTGGACCGGTTTGAAAACTAAGCAGACTATGTGCGTTCGGTTACGAGTCAAATGTTCGGTCAATTTCAGGATTGGATTGGTAGGGTACGAGGACTACGCCGTTCGATGAGTTTTCGAGGAAAACCTTTGATAACTCATGATAGTTACATATATTTTTTAGCGTATAAGTTAAGATCAGAATCTGGATTATCATGTTGGCGATGTTGTTTAATTATTTGTCAAGTAATTACATATATATATATATATAAATAAAAGTGAAGAAATAGTAGCCGATGAATTACACAAAAATGTATAGAATCATTTGCTATCACTAGACTTAGGGACATCTAGCAATTGCATACTTTTTAAATTATTGTTAAATATAGAAGAGTGCGAAATAAATTCGTTTCTCGGTGCCATGATATCAGATTTTAAATTTAAATGTGCATATTTTTGCATGTTTGATAGATTTTGCAGGAGAGTGCATATTTTAACATTATTATGCTCATTTTGCATATTTTGAAAATTTTTTCAAATTTTATTATTTAAAATTAAAAACTATAAATACATATTTCAACCGATCGAAAAAAAAATGTACTAAAGGGACTTAATACTTCTAGTAATATGCTATCTGCAAACTACCTCTCATATCTCGTTATAATTTTTGTGTAAGTATAAAAATAATACTATAAACCCTTATCGACCGTATAACTCGCTGGATATCGACCAGATGTCGATAATGACAATAGTCAATATAGAATAATAGATTATTTGTTTGGTGTTCAGTTCAGTCGATTATTATCCGTCGTTGTTTTTGCGTCTCGCGACTACACAACGTCGAATCATACGTAAAACGTCGTACGCGTATATTTTGTAACATTGTGTAATGCCGAAAGTACAACAGTTTACGAGTAGCCGATTACGAAGTTTTGTTTCAGAGTTTAAAGATACATATAAATCCGATGGACACGTTTTATTTTGTGTACAATGTGATCATTTTTTTTTTTTTTTTTAGTGCATATAAATGCATATTAAAATGCATATTTTAATGACTTTAGAAGCATATTTGTGTATTTTTTAGAGCTATAAGTCCCTAAGCCTAGCTATCACCAAAAAAATAAATCGACAAATAGTGAATAATGCATATAAGCGAAAAGCAATTGACGATTTATTCTCACGGCCATAAATTATAATATTTAAGGAATTAGAACAAAGTTATTTTGGAGGAAAACGATATCTCGTTCTTGGAGGAAAATGGACCTGCCCGAGTTATCAACTTGTTTGGTGTTGTTCCTTCCGCAAGCGACCTCTTTTCAACGCGCGGCCGAGAACGATTGGAAAACAACTACCAACGCGGTCCTTTTAATTAATATAGGTACACAAGAGTGTTAACTTCGTGGGAGTGTATTAAATGTACGTGGAATACATTCCTCGTTTCACTCAAAATCAAAAAACGGAATTGGTAAATACCAGTAGTTCGTTATTACGTTTCTTTTTTCTACGACGAATAATATAATAACTAATGACACGACATCATAGAGAATTTATAACAAAAAATATTAGTTTTACTTAGTAATAAGATATTTTTAAATCAAATAATGAGTTTAAGACGTCTAGTCATTAAATCCGAATATACATATTATATACGAGCAAAATAAATTTAGCATAACATATTATTAGGTTATATTTTTTTTTTGGTAAAACTATTTTTTGGTACGGGCATTAATCACACGTGTGTTACAAAAACATCAAGTTGACAATTTAACAATACCTAACATTGCACACGAAATAGTTAAAAGTGTAATTTACAAAGATTATACAGGTTGTTCCAAAATGATTCATCCGATTACGAACTGATATAGTTCGGCAACGGTTAATCGCAGGTTAATGACCAATGTATTAATGGAAAGATTAGATAACTAAGTTTATTTTAAGTTATCTAGTTGTTAAATTTGGCACCGTAATCGTTAGTGACGTAACTTAATTAGTTGTTATCGAAATGTTGATCGAGCAACAAAAGGCGTTTTGTGTGCTCCGCTTTGAGAAGTGCGAGTCTGTTATTACCGTGCAGCGTGATTTTCGTCGAAAGTTTAACATTCAACCTCCAACAGCCCAGAGTATTCGAAGATGGCATAAAACCTTCCAAGAAACTGGTTGGTTATGTAAAGGGAAGTCATCGGGTAGACCAAGAACTTCGGATGAAAATGTTGAACAAATTCGAGAAAGTTTTGTAAGAAGTCCACAGAAATCAGATGGAGATGATTTCATTTTACAACAAGATGGAGCACCACCACATTGGTCCTTAGAAGTACTCAAATTTCTTAACGATCAGCTACCACAGAAATGGATCGGTCGCTGTAGTGCTAATGACGCTACATTTTGTCCATGGCCGCCCCGTTCGCCAGATCTTACAATCTGTGATTTTTTTCTCTGGGGTTACATAAAAAGCATTGTTTATGTACCTCCCCTTCCAAAAGATCTTGACGAATTGAAAAGTAGCATTACAGATGCCATCAACTTGGTTACAGTCGACATGCTTCAACAGGTTTATGAGGAATTTGAATATCGCTTAGATGTGTGTCGTGCAAGTAAGGGAGGTCACATTGAACATTTATAAGCATTGTACCTAAAACTTAAAATAATCCATTAAAATGTAAAATTAATTCTAACATGATTAATCAAATTTTACAATAAATATGATCTTTTTAAATTGGATGAATCATTTTGTTGAACGTCGCGATCGTTTAGTTGGTTGCAAACTATACGATCCACGTTTAGTAATACATGCTGTTTCGGTAATATACCAGTAAAATGGAATTATTGGAATTTATAACGACAGATACAAGAAAAATATTGTTAATTTTTAATAATTATAAATTTTTTTTTGATCACGAGAGTAAATGTGGAAAAATTCGTTGGCGATGTTTTTTATATTATAAAGTATTATATTATTATATTATTAGTATTATACTTTTTATATTATATTAAATATGTGAATTCTGTGTATGGCAATATTAAAAAAAAAATATTGTGTTTTATGCACTATAAAAATAATTATTAGTGAATAAACGTTGTTAAATATTACATATTGTTACATATTCATATATTTTTATGCTGTTCATTTATGTCCCAATCTTCGGGTACACTTTAAAAATATAGATTTAATTTGTGACCCAATCTCCGAGTAGTAAAATGTAAACAAATATTTTATACGAATCAGGTACATAAAATTTGGCCCAATTACCGATCGTCCTTTATAGGATGTATTGATTATTGCTAGGGCTGTGAATTTAATGCACTAAAGAATCTTAGAAAATGCATTAAAAATTTCAAAAAAATATAATAAAATATGCACTTAAAATGCAAAATAATTCAATATAAAATGCCAAAAATTATAGTATTATAAAATGATTTTTTAATTTAATTTTATATTTATATTAATATTAGGTACAGGATATTAAACATGAGTACATTAAATTCATAAATAAGTGTTTATTTAATAAACAAAAAAAAAAAAAAAAAAAAAGAAAAATTTTGATAGAATTTGATTTTTCTATATGTACTATATTTTAGTATTTATATTGTTAAAATAATAAAAAAAAAATTAATGTATTTATTTTCGGGTACGTTTTTTTGTCTTTAGTCTTTAGAATTTGATTAAAAATACCAGAAAATTAACTAATAAAGAAAAATATGACCTAAAAATGCACAAAAATTACCTAATAAATTAAAAAAGAAAAAAAAATCCAAAATAAAAGTTGCATAAATGGATTCGTAGTTACATAATTCAAATTATGTACTTACAAAGCTACGTTTTACAATCACCAAAAAAAAAAAAATGCACTTTCCTACAAATTCTCAGCCCTAATTATTGCGAATATCATACAAATGTTTAATTAGTTTTCGGGTAATCTCGTGTTTTTCCAATGAACTATAAAATGCGCATTAATTATTTGTAAATGTTGCAAAATACAAAAAAAAACAATAAAAATTTACATTATATATTATACAATTCATTATTGTGTTTAGTGATTTATGATAAAAAGTTACAGATGACAGAAAAAAAAATAATTTGATGGTTGTTTGTTAAAGTATTTATAAAAACGAAAACCTAAGATTAATCGGCTTAGAGATAATGAAAGATATATTATATATAATACTCAGACATTTGTATTCAATGTGATCTATGATATAGTGTTAATATTGCACAACTGATTATTATTTTATACTTTATATGTTAAATTTATATTTAATATTCTACTGCTTATTTATGTAACTAATTTATTCTCAGGCGGGTCTGTCTATACGTAGTCGATTAGACCAATACCGTCTTTATTATTTTGTTGTTATCAAAAGTAAAATTGTTATCATAAATATAATTTTACCATCAATTATAAATTTATAATAAATTAATTACATTTTTTTATTTGTTACATTGTAATATTAAGATACACCATCTTCACTCTTTACATGAAATGTATGGCCCAATTCTAATGTTTTTATTTTGTTTTCAGAATATATATTTTGAGCAGTAGAAAGTCTATTATAAATATGCTTGACCAGTGTTGCAACTACAATTTTTGTGTCCCAGGGCCACTGAGATTTATTGCCCCATTTTTTAGTATGTCAGACACTTGTTAATAGTTTCATTTTCCGACCCTTTTTCATCTAGTAATTCAAATATACATCAGTACGTAAATTAAAGCATATTTTAAAATTCACAAATTCACAAAGCACATCAATAAATAAGAATTCAAAATTTTAGAATGATAACCCGATTTAATTACAAACACATAGAGGTCAACCAAAGTTGTAATGCAATGTACATTATCCAAACCAACCAATAAAATAAACAAAACAACAACAAAAATTAATAAGTTAATTTTTTATTATTTTTAAAAATTGAAAGTTTAAATAATTACTTAAATTAGTTAAAGCAAATAGGAAACAATCTATACTAAAACTAGTAAAAATGTATATTAAATGAATTGTAATGTATTGTTTAAGCACCTATATTACATTTTTAAATTCTATATAGTATCTACTACTATTAATGAACTACTAATTTTAATTACAGGCCGCATCAAAGTTCCTATACCTACTTGTCCTTATATTAAAAGATAAAGCAAGTCTAAATTATAAATAAATAAATACAGGGAAAGCAATAAATATTGAGAACAACTTGACTGCCTACATTATTTAACAATACAATTTTGAGTTTATATCTTAATATTACATTGTAACAAATAAGATAATGTAATTCATTTATTACAGATTTATAATTGATGATAAAATTATATTTATGATAACAATTTTATTTTTGATAACAACAAAATGATAACGACGGTGTTGGTCTAATCGACTGCGTATAGACAGATTCTTCTCAGACCCTACAAATTG